CCAGAGCTGCAGGCACCGTCCGGCGCTCCTCCATCAGCCGCACCGCGGGGACAGCCGCCGCACCGCCTCCCACCCACCGCCTCCATCGCTCGGCTGCGTCCCGGCGCCACTGGAGCTACCTCTGCATCGCCTCCCTCGTAACCGCTTCTTCATCACCGCACGCTGCTTTACATGTTAGTGAGCCGCTCCTCAAGCACTTAGTTTTGGTGCCGTCTTAAATATTTTAGTGTTACCCGTTGGGAGATTTCTCACACACAGATGTGATTACACAAAGTTTGGCTGATGAAAGGTTAGCACGTGATTTATAGGTCAGTCATGGGTACATTACAATACAAAAGTGTTATTAGCATATCAGAAACAAGTCAGAAGTAACTTTGACTCACTTGACTCTGCAGTTCTTTGAAGAGCTGATCAGACATTCATGTGCACCTACCACTCAATCTTTGTAATCTATTTAGAAATACAACATTAGTAACAAACATACAGGTATGCCTGGGCAAGGTGAGGGCACTCTTTAGAAATCCATTCCTTCCCAACATGCTCACAAGTCACATTTCCTTATTCATACCTCTCAAATAAGTCTCAGTACTAGTACCTGCACTGTGCAGATGAGGAAACTGAGGCACAGAGAAACATGTTCACTAGGCAGGTTGATTGGAAGGCCAAAAGCACTTAGAGCCTCAGGGTGATGCATGAACCACCAGACCTCCTCTCTACCATCTTAACTTCTGCAATCAATTCTTACATTTCTTCTCTAAGAAGAAAACCAGTATGAAGCACCACTGCAGAACTGAGCAAGCCCACTAAGAGAGATACTGCATGACCTCACGTGTAGGGTATATCAGTGTACAGTTCTAGGTGCAAGGCAGACCTTAAATGATCTCAAATCTTTTTGCAAATCTCTCTCCATAGTCACAGAGTAGTTCTGCACCAGTCTGTCATTGCCTTATCCTGCTGTGAACTGGCCCAACCAAGCAGTTTCTCAGATACACTTATTTCCACCCATCAGACACATAAACAGTAGAAAAAACACACACACAAAAATCCATGTAAACCAGGAGGCAAATGCTGTGCTGAGCCCAGGCTGCTGCGGGCAGGGCAGGAGCATGGCTGCTGTGCACACACCTTACTGAGCTGCTGTGGTTCACACAGTGCCACAGCCCCGGCTGGTGGGACACGCTGCAGAAGGCAGAGCTGCCTTCCCACATGGACACAAGGTTTAAGGTTTTCCATCAGAAGGCTCTAGGATGGGGCTGTTCCACTGCTCTACTTCTACAAAGGAACCAGAGTAATAGCAAAGGTCCTCAGGTATAACACAGAGATGATCTTTTATTGTCCAAAAGCTTCTTAGACTGGTCAAAGGCCTATGAATTGCACTGGCACTGGCAATAGCCTTGAGGTCTTGCACGGAGGTTCCTATCTACAGAAACTATCTGTGGCTCCTGGATCACAGCAGTGAAAGTGGAAAAATCACAGGCTGTGCTCACAGTGCTCTTCTGCTGGCGAGTTCTGAGCAGCACAGTAGGCCTGGGTCTGTGCACAGGAACTAAAAAGTAGTTTAATATAAAAATAGAGCTTTAAGAATACCAAAACAACATGACAATGTTTGTGGCTCTCAAATATCTAACACATTCAAGAACTGCATTTTTCAGGAAATTTTTCAGTTAGAGAACTTCTTCAAAACCTGAAACAAGTCACATACACGTAGTAACAACACAGGAGAAAGGGGTGAGGATTTTCTAGTATGCACTTAGGTTTCCAAGATTGTCATTCCAGTGTGTTCCAGTTCGTTTTGCACATCACCATTCTGTTTGCAAAAGCACAGATGCAGCAGCAATATTTTTATCTTTACGCCAAAGTTTTATACAAAATTATTCTCAAGTCTCAAAAACTGAAGAGTAGATTCTGGAGTGTGACTGAACTGAGACTAATTCTTACATCTGCAGAATGCCATGTCCACACAGTATCACTAAAAATAGAAATTGCAGTAAAATTATTGCCTGTTTTATGTATTTTAGTCTGTTTATCATTTTTGGTTGACACAGTATCTCAGATTTTTTTTTTTTAAATTCATTTTCATTTTGTGAATATTTTTTAAGGTACAATTTATACTCTCATCTCAGTTCTTTTGCTTTTCTGCAAGTGGTTTTATCTCAAAATGGCTATTCAGTATTGAAAAGCACCCAGAAAAATGTAATTTCAAGTTCCAATAGCACAGTGGAACTAGTTGCATCTCTCCTCTTCAGTATATCCTTGCTATTTGTATTGTTTATATCCAATCAGCAAGTGAGATACAAGACCTATCCACTCCCAACACTGGTGTCTCAGTACTAAAACCATGCAAGCACTCTAGTACCTGTAGTTCAGCCTGTCTTTCTTGCAAAGTTCCTCAAAAAAGGTAGTATGTCTATCTGAAATGGACACTGACATCAGTTTTCAAGTGCTGGTTTCCTTGGCTCAAAGTTTTCCATTCGGAGGAGCTTTAATTCTCTCAGTTCTTGTGGCTGTAAACTCTGGTCCACACCAGGAGTTAGCTTGTAATTTAAAGGGGATTCAATATAACCGTTTCTGTACAGACAGACCCGCTTGCAGAATTCAAAGGTGCTAAACATAACACCAAAGTATGGGACAATCTGAGAAAATAAAAAAAGAAAAAGCTATGTCAGATAAAAACAACAGTATTAGATTTAGTAGTAGCATTCTTAGGTCAGACGTTTTAAAAAAGGATGCTTATAGAATTTCAAATCTGACCTGATCTGCTAATAGAGCTGTGCTCATTTATGTAAAATCAGTCCCACCTCAAAAGAGGCTGGCACCTGCAGCATGCTAGAAGTGAGTTATTACTGGTACATAACTAGTAATAACAATATTGTGATTAACAGGAACTGTGCTAGCCTATAGATCATCACAACTTGTCAAATCATAGAATCCTTTAGGTTGGAAGAGACATTTAAGATCATCAAATCCAGCCATATACCTCAAATACCTCAGCAAATCCCAATAGGAAACTCAGGATTTATTCTACGTACAACAAAGTGACTGAACAATTTTCTTCTTTTGCTTCATGCAGAATCAGCAGCTCTGGTGCCACGTGGCTTTATACCAGCCAAGGCAGGGCCAGGGCCAGGCACAGGCAGGCCATCACAATCAATCATCTTGTCACTCAATTAGCACTCCTTAGTGGTGCTCCATGCAGGTAATCCTCACGGCAGCACTATAAAATGTATTTATATAAACTAAATTACCTTCTCTTTAAGCTACTGTGCTTTATTTCATGCTTTCAACTCCACAAGGGCTGCAGTTACTGATACACAGGCATTGAATAGCTGCTTGGGAAAACCACATTTGCCTTCTGGGGAAGTGGCTTATACAAGCACAGTTTTCTTTCCAGCTTGGTACAAGTCAAGTTGCTGGAGCACAGTTGAGAAGCAGAGCTTGTTTAGCTTTCCAAAGTGGATCACTTGCAACCCCCATCCACACCCTACCCTGTGTGTTAGCAGCACTCCCTTCTCTAAAGATGTTTGAATGGACTTGAAAGCAGTGTCATCTAGAAGGCAAGCCTACATTTTGGGAAATATGATCAAAGCAAGTTCCAAAGCTGGTTTATAACCTGCCTGAGGTTATATCTGCTTTGTCACAGACTCTGTCTTCTACGAGCTGCTTATAAGTGCAGAGGCATGTCATATGCTTTATCACCCCAACTGTCCAAAATTGTGTCTTGATTACTTCAGGATAGTCTGATTGGGATGAGAGCAGAACCTCACCTTGAGCAGACTGGGCGTGAGACCGCTCCAAAGCCCGAGCACACCTTTGTTCTTCACGGTTTGCCGGAAACAGTCAGCCATGCCAGTAAAGTAGACATCAACTGCTCCATAGTGGGGGAGCCAAGGACTCTGGGCCTGTTCAAGAGACACCCAGACAGATATAGAACAAGCAAAGGAAAACCAGAACAATTAAAGACAATTATTTTCTCCATTCTGTAGGTCAGCAGTTGGTGCCCACGCTCCTGTATCTTTGTTATATGTCAGTTGATCCAGACTGGTTACAGTTAGCTTGGGAGCATCCTGCTGAACTGCAGCTACATTTCCAACTGCAGTATAGACAGTGTCTGTTCCCATGGAAGAGGTGTAGCAGGTCATTTTTAACAGCAAAATCCTTCCTTCATTAATCTCCTACTGCATTAGCACAGACAGGATAACCTGACCTGGAATAATCCCATCCTCACCCATCTGTGCACATGCAGCCATGGGTTTATTTTACACTGACAAATGAGGGTTTCACTTGGCAAATGAGGCTTCTCAGCCAGGGGTGTGTGGGGACCCCAGGACACAGGCTGATGCCTTGTGCACGCAAGCTGATCACCACAGGGCTGGAGTTTGATAAAATGGGACTTGCAGAGCTGAGTGGTGAATATGGGTATCATTATCCCCTCACTGATCTGAAACACCATGTGGTGTAGCATTTTTTCCCCTCCTTGGCCAGACGGACCTACAGTTTCACGCTGGTGCTAAGCCTATGACAAGTCTCATAAATCAACAAGTGGTGATGACATTTTCTAGATGCTGCAGCTATAGAATTTCAAATACTTGGCAACTTAGATGCTGGAAATGGGAACAGATCAAAATTCGTGCTCAGGTATGTAAATGAAGTTGCTAATCAAATAGTTTTAATGGTGTTACATCTCCTTGCACTACTGGCATGTCTACTACCAAAATTTAGAAGCTAACAAAAAGCTCCTAATAACCCCACACACTAACTTCACAGTCTCCTTTATCTACAAACAAAATCACATACCATGATTTTTTCCTCACTTTTTTTTGTGCATGACTGAAATGCACGTGAAATACTTCTGATGGCATGTAACAGGTAAAACCATAGTTTCTTTTTGACAGGGCTCTGGGAGGTGATTTTGGGAAAGCAGCTGTCTGCACTGAGAAAGAAAGCAACAGGCTTCCACCATATCCTTATGTCTTATCTTCTGGGTGCCTTTTATCATGTCCTGGCTCTCTTACCCCAGACAAGAGCAGGGCTGATGATTTAATTAATTAAATCTCTGGGTCTGTTATTTAAGGGGTATAAGGATTTTAAAAGAAACAGCTAAATCCAGCAGTGACAAATTGAGAAATAACTTTCCAAGCCTTGATCCAAAGTACTTGAGAAACTCAAGTACTCAAGACTCTCAAAACTGTCCTGTAGAAGATGCCAAGTGCTGTAACTGAGACCTCAGGACCCTCTTCCACTAAGAATGGTAAAATTCACACCACTGATGAAGAGCACTCAGGAGATATAAGTATCCTTAAAAATTCAACAGCAGTCATAGAAAAGATGGATTCAAACCTCTCTTCTGCTTTCTGGACTTTCAGCCCGATTCCCTGAGTTTTTTTGGTAAAGGAAGTTATAGGCAGTGAAGCAGTGAAGAGTTCAGGAAAGCAGTAATGCTGCTAATGTGTGCTCCCCTTCCTTTTTAAGTCTCTGTGGTAGGCAGGGCATGACCTGTCAGAATTAACTGCGTGAGTTTGATTTAATCCCCTTCCCTGTCGTAGGCACTGCAGAGGCACTACCGAGGGGTTCTCATTACAGTGCTCCTGCCTACAACACCAAGACAGCCAACAAGCACACGGCAGGTTTCACCAACATTCTGCATGTAGTAAGCATATGGAAGACAGTTAAAAACAAAGAGGTAAGTCAAACCCCCAGCTTTCTAATTTGCCTACAGCCACTGACATCTTAAGAGATTTACTGAGAGATTATTTATAGTAACATTCACCATAGTTACAGCCATATTCAAGATCTCAGTCTGTGGGGTGAAGTATGCTTCCCCAGTCCTTCTGTTGTACAGCAGCATGTTTCTAAGATCCTACAAACAGTATTTGAATAACAATTGTCCACAGAATCTCAGAATCACCCACCACAAAAGGAAAACTAAAAATATTATCTGCCTGTAGTTAAAACTTCAGTATTTTGGAACACAGTTAAACCAAGTTAAAATGTGTTAATCAAAGAAAAATAATAGAACAGGAAGGTGTTTCATTTAGCACTGCTTTTAATGAAAAATATAGCTGTGTTCTGCACCATCTAAGGACATCTACAACACTGCAATTCCTCACAACTGCCTTATGGCACCAGAGCCAGAAAATGAAGCATCAGATCAAACTAGTTTCTCTACCTTTTTTTCAGAAACCTCCTATGACATACAAATCAAACAGCTAATTTCATACCCAGAAGATCAGGTTTACAACAGAGACATTTTATCCCATGCACTTCAAAGCAGCTCAAGTTCCCTTCTTTTGATACTCCTTTACACTCTGGGCAGCTGCATGGAAATCTGTTTGTTTTAACATTTTTAAAGATTCTTCCCCTTACCCAGTTGTGGTTGTCTCATGCTGCAGAAAGCTGGAGATAAAGTACAGCTCACTGCACTCACAACAGAGCCAAGCTGTTAGTCATGGTGGTAGGGGGAATAAGCTGAGAATCTTTTTGCCTCTGATGGATGATGGGTTCTCTGAATGATTAAAGAATTATCTCCATCTGCTCTCTCACAAAACCTGCACTCACATTTTTTTATATAAACAAAATATTTAAATATGGGTGAAGTGTCATGAAAAAAACCAAGCTGTTACCTGCAGACTCTTCAGACACCAACTCTTCCGTTGTCTGCATCATGAGGTGACTGACAAAACAACACAGTCCCATTTTGGGAACTAATCTCACAGACCCTGATAAAGATTTCCCATTCCATGACCTCCCCCAGCCCCTCTCCTGCTCCTCTGTTCCTCTCTGGATTGAAGGATAGATGCAATTCACCACAGCTACAGTGGGATCCATGTCCACGAACAGATCAATCACTTGAACCCTTCCAAGGCTCACAGTAACCACCCAGGCACCCAGCAGAGACCACCAGGTCAGGAGATGACAGACACAGTGGTTAGGCCACTTAAGAATGAGCTCAGAGCTGTGCAGAAACAAAATCCCCACTTGCACTTGAGGACACTTTGGTTTGCAACTATCTGAATTTACATACATCCTGAGACTATTTGGAAATACTTCCCTCTCAAACAATGTACTTTATTTCCCCCTTCCCTGTCATAACGTTTGCTGGTACAAAGATTTGCTATTTATTTCTTTTTGGGTATGCAGTACTATCAGCACAGAGTATGAAAGATCAGCTAATAGTGAATAGCTGCCATAGGTCCACGCTAACCTGATGGCACATATAGTAGAATTCCTTGTTATTTATGTATTTTCAACAGATCCAAGTGTCCTACACTTCTGATCAATTAAAAAAAAAAAAGTACAGGAAGGCACTTTACAACACACCTCAAGAATTCATGCTCTTAATCTGGAAGCTAAAATAAGAAGTCTTTGTAGTCTGGGTTAATAAGGTCACATGTAATGGGCAAGTGGAATTGTAGTTCAAAGCAAACTGAAGGACAAAGATTGCAGTTTTCATTCAAGCAAATGCCACTACAGTCAACAGAAATTTCACTCAGGCGAAGGCTGAATGTTTGAAAGAGTATTTCATTCTACTCAAATGGAGAAAAAGGCATTCATTCTCTTGGGCTAATCAGTCCTTTCTCCTGGAGGGGACCCTTACTTGGCAGTCATCGTCTCTTCTGTGTCAGTGGTTTGGTAATGCTGAGTTACCTCTGGCTAAAGTCCACCAATGGTACTCAGGCATGTAGGAAGGTGAACAATGACAAACTATCAGGAGGCAACCAGTTCCAGAGCAGCTGACCTCCAGCTCCCTGCACTCTAGGAACATGTTGTCCCCTCCTCTGTAACCTGAACTGGGGCCAGATTATCTCACCTTTCCTGCGTAGCTGGTGCAAAAGTACTCACGTTAGCAGTAACAGTCATAGCTGTCACTCTGGGCACACTGCTGTCCTCACTGAAATCTCTGGCTGCAATAGTTGTGTACACAGAGCAATGTACCCTAACTGGTGTCAGGCCATGGCAGCTGGGTGAGCTGACTGAGTTTAAAAAGGTGGGCTGAGTTGCCACCCCATCTGATTTGCCCCAAAGCAGATTAAAGAGCTCTCTCTCACACCACACTGATCCCAGAGCTGTGGAGGCTGTAAGAGGCTGGCGGCCGTGATCAGCTGGCACTGCCAAATCTAGGACTGGGAGCAGTGGTGGCCACTTCAGTGCCTGGGAAAAACATCTGGAGAGAACTGCATTCTGTCCTCCCTCAGACCTCCTGTGTTTCAAATTGCTATACAGTGTGTTCTCTGGCCTTTTTTTTTTCTCCCCACAGACTAGTGTACTGCAGTGCCAGCCTACTGCTGTAATCCACCTCAGAGCATGTATTACACACTTATCACACCACAGCTCCTTGCATGAACAGAGTTAAAGTCCACTAGACACAGCATGAACCGTCACAGGGCAGACCTGACTGTTTACATCAGCCCAGTCCTGCTTCCAGTTCTCAATTTACAATTTTCCCCCTCTTATCCAATTTTCCCACTGGCACTGTTCAGTGTTTCAACCTCACAGGCAGGCAGTCTTCATGATTCTCTGCTGTGGAAGTCTGGGAATCTATGAGAAATGCTTCTGAGGTTTGTTCAAATGCACAAAAGCTGATCTAGGCTGTTAGGGAAGATGAGCCCATGTCATACTCAGTAGCTTTTTTCAGGCACTCTCTCAGTGGACTGGATCCCAAAGCAGTAGGGCACTATTCTGCAACAGCCTCAGAAAGAGTGGTATAAAAATACTTTTCCAGAAACAGCAGTGAAACAATACAAACATGCTGGTAGCTCAGAGCATTTAGACACAGGGAAAAGAGGAGAAGTAAGGAAGGGGATTTTACCAAAACCAGAATCTGATGTCTATTACCTATTTGCTAATAACCAGGGGAGCCATGCTGGGCCCAAATTCAAGTATTACCCAGGGCATGAGGTCC